ATTATTTAATTTCAAATATATATTATATTCTGTGCTAAATAAGCCATACACAACATTGCATCATATGCACTTTTTATACATTTAATTTATAGCTGATTAATTTTAAATAAAATTATTTTTTTATAACATTTCTCGAAGTAATTACAAAAAAAAATCTGGAATTTTTTTGAGTTAATCGCATCAATGTGTTTTCAACATTTAACGAAGTCATATTTCTGGAATTATTTAAGAAATCTAAAATATGATGTGATTACTATTATGGGTACACGAACACAATTTAATTAATTACCTCAGTTACCCATCTCAGTTGCGTGCACAACATACAACATTCATGACTTCATGCGTAATAAAAACGAACTATCATTTGCCAATGGGAGTTAATTTCTACTAGACAACGAACATTATCTTTAATGTGGTATACGTCGGTAGTCGGCTAAGTTCTAAGAAATGTATATGTATATAAAAAAAGGAACTGAGACAAAGGGAAGAGGAGTGAAGGTAAAAACAAACTATAAAAAGCAGTGAAAACTATAATAAGGCAAATAAACGTGTGAGCGAAGTGATTCAAGAGCGTTTGTTCAAAATGCCACACAAATGAAACGTCTACACGTACGTACAAAGTGAATATATTATCTGGTTAAAACATTCCTACCAGCCAATCGTAAATGCATATGGTGACATTGTGTAATGGACGCAAAGATTTCAAGTTCACTCGGTGCGTTTAAAATAAATCGAAGAACTAATGCATTTATATTAAGCTATTCAACTCTGAGTTATGGTTCACAGTAAATAGAAATGTATTTTTAAATTGAAATGCATGAATTAAATTTAAATAAAACGCATTTTAAACCAAGTACTTCTAAATATTTATAGAGAGTTAACATTTTATCTTGTTGAGTACTGTAATAAAAGATTTTTTTCTCATTATGTTCTAGTCAAAGGAGACACTATTTTTTTAATTTTTACATTTTTTTTTTTTTTTTTTATGATGGTATATTTTATTTTTCGGAAAACATTTTTAGGGTAGTAAAAAAGACTCACGTTTTGATTTATACGAACAATTGATAAAAAAATGTTTGCGCATATAAACGTTATTGAGGGAATCTAATATATTTTCCACCATAAACATCATTCATGTGTTATCATTTATCAAAAGTGTCAATCATTTAGGTTCTGATCAATTTATTTAAAAATTAAATAAACGTCAATATAGTTAGAAAAGTATTATAAACGTGATATAGTTTTCAAGTATTCTATGAATAATTGTTAAGATTTTATTTTTTGTACATTTCTATTAATTTGATACAATAATTCATTTTTCTAGTTTGACAAACTAATACAATTTTATTGAAGGCGAAAAGTAATGGTTCATTAAATACTTAAATAATATGATGGTAATATTAATTATACTATTCATATATTAGTAAATAGGTACTTAATTTTATTAATTGATTCTTTTGTATAATATATTTATGACTAAAATAATAATATTCATTCATGTATATTTATGATTTATCATTAAAATGTTTTTTAAATTTAATAGCCAGTTAAAAATCATTCAGTAAAATAAAAAAGTAATAGCCGATAACTTAGTAATTGCATTAGTTCAAGGGTAGTGAACCTTTTTCAAAGTCAACATTTTTCATGGACCAAAATATGCGTAATTACCCACATTTTCATATAATTAAAATATTTCTAACTTTAATAAAAACGTGAAATAATTTTATAATTTGTTTTTTTTTAACTAAACTAATAAGTTTTTCCTGTATTTGTTTTAGATTCATTTTAAACATGATATTTTATAGTTCATTCACTCAGTTGAAACAAGAAATCAGTTATGGTCAGTATTGAACCCAGATAACTAGATTAAGATAATGATTATATAATGAAAAATCTGTTCAAATAAACATAAAATAAACTTAAACTAACTATAGCATAGAAAAAAATATTATTATGATTGATTTAGAAAAGAAGTAGATTATTTTTTTTTTCAAAAAATGAGATTATTTTAAAATTGTATGTGGTAAAAGAAAAATTATCAAGTTTCTCATTTTCACATTATATAATATTTTCATATTAGTTGTTATATTCGTTTAAGATGATTGAAATGTGTTTTGATCATAACAGCGTCACTTCTCTAATTTAAAAATTATTTTTTTTTTTTTTTTAAATTACTATCCTAATATATATATTAATTTTTGAATCTCATTAAAGCTTTTAATATGATGGTTAAAAATTGTAATATATTAAATAAAATACAAAGAAAAAGTTACTAATAACACGATGTATATATGAGTATACATAGTTTTTTATTGATTGATATTATATTTATTGCTCAAAATAATAACAATAAAAATAAAAGTATATAATGTGCTTTTAACTTTAACATGAGTAATATTTTTTAAACATACCTATTTTCAAAAGTTTCTTACTTTCCACTTAGAATAAAATTTTAAATAAATTACAGTTAAAAAATTAATATTAATTAATAAATATATTATATAATATACTATTATTACAATTAATATAAACAAGATCTTATGGAAAAAAAAATAATTTTACCAAATAATTAGCACATTTTTTTAAACAATTTATATATACTACAAAAATATATGATTTACTCTATTTTTGCTGCATTTATCATTGACAACAAAGAAGCATATCAAAATATTCATACTCAAGACATTTACGCCTTACAGTTAAGGCCTAAATACTTCTTAGGATATAAACGTTTGTTGAAAGTCGGGAAAACCAACAGCTACCTTTTCAATCGAATTTATTTGAAATATTTATTTTCACTATTGAACATTTTTGTTGTGGATTTACGAATAATCCTAACCTCAAAGCATTTGTTAATTAAATATCTTATACAAAATAAATATCTAGAAAATTACAGAAAATTACTGAAGTTTTCATTGATGATAGAAAAATAAATAACATTTAGATTTGTACCTATATAACAAAACGAACAATTAATATTGTAATTTTATGTTAAAAACTCTGTTTGACCCAAATTTTAGTTCTTAACAAGAAGAAAACATTTTTCTTAGTTTTACGAAAAACCAAAAATATAAATAGACATAGGTATAAAAAAAAAAATTGATACTTAGATATAAATAAAATGTAGAAAAAAAAGTAATTTGTTAAAAATCAATTTACCTATACTTATATAGTTACAGAAAAAATATTATAGAATATAGGTAGCAGAATATTAGTGATGGAAAAAAGCTATAAAAAAACATTAGATAAAAGCATAGTGAGGCATAGTGGAAGCGGCAATGAGTCTAAATGGCTTCAAATAAGCCAATTTATAAAATTAATAGATAGCAAAATTTATCTAGTGGACGTCCATTTGATTTCAAGAATAAATTCATTAAGCAAATTAATGTATTTTACAATATTGGTTGATATATACAAAATTATCAACACTTGGTTCATAATAATTTTTCGAATATAATGATTTATCGTTATAGTCAAATTCATGCTATTGATATTTTAACTTTCCTATATTTATGACTATTACAAATTATCAATATACAATGAATGAAACCAAAAATAATTATCACTTTGTCGTTTACAAATATTTTATATTTTAATTTACTGTTTGCAAGTACGTGTTTCAGTATTTTATAATTTATGAATGGCAAACGTATTTTATTTTCATGTTTCCATATTCATATGCTATTAAACGAAAATAACGAAAATATATAAGTATTTGACTTAATATATTTGTTTCTTTAATAACAAATGAAAATCTATTATATATCAACACTAAAATGTCATTACTTATAATACATGCTTTTAAGCTAATTATATAAATTACATATTTTAGTAATTATTATGATTAGTAATCAAAATACTACAAAATCAGAATATTGATCATGTTTTATAATTTTTAATTTTTTCATCCGATTAAAATTTGATTTGTATGTATATCATGTCTTCAATCGTTGAAAACAGGTTTCTAGAAAATATTGTGTAGGGTTTTACATATGGTATTGTATTCTTTATATAGTACACTTTCATACAATTGAATAACAAATTGTGTATTAAAAATATTGGTATTGATTCAATCAAAATTAATCGAGTAAGAAATGAAATTGGTGTTTGTCCGAAATCAGTATTGAACTGGACGATCAATGATGAGTGTTTCAGAAAAGAAAGTTGACCTGAAGTTATGGGAAACCACGGGTGAGGTGATTTGTCTAGAAATGGAAATTTGTTTAATTTTTATAGTTATATGTTATATAAGGTACAATGTTAGACAGGATTACATATTTATATATTCGTACTCGGTAAATGTTACAGGTTTTTAATGTTATACGACACAGGGTGCATATTTTGGAATACCACATGAAAGCTGCAATTAATAATGTTGAACAGTATGTGTTTCATGTATATTTATAAACAACCGTAATATTCACACATTTATTCGTGTTTTTGAATTAAATACGATTGAACATTTTTTAAGATATATAGATTAGTTTTACGTAGACATGTTTCATACATCTATCAAAAATAGCAAAAGGCGTCAAATAAATTTGTTCCATAAGTTGTACATTATTATTATATTTATTCTTAGCCAAATATGTTTTTCCTTTCGAATAATTTATGAAAATTTAAATCATTATGCCATTAATATACTTGTATTTCAAAGTTTGAACAAATGAGTTTCAACGACATAAACATCGTTAATAATATTAGAATAAATTATCTTTCGGTTATGAATACCTAGTTTAAATTTTCTATTTTTCTATTTTTTTTTTTTTTTTTTTATATTCAAAAAAACTAACGTGGAAAAAATATGTAGGTAAAACTCGCGTGCGCGTTCGTGTTCCGTACGGCTTCGAAAAGCCCATCTGTTCGGTTACAGTGGTTGCGTCCGGTGGACATATGACGTCACAACAGCAACAGGCGGAGGGCATCCACACGCGAAGGTGGTACTCGCCGTAGCGTACACCTCTGTTTACCAACGGGTTCTTTTCAGTCTTGCACGACAACCCGCGAGTTCCACATTACCGGCGTAAGTGGACATCGGGTTCTTTTCCGATATTTATTACGCTACTCGTAGTTTTTTTTTTTACACATATATAATAACTTATAATACACTAACAAAAATTTAATAGATAGTTTTAGTTACTATATTAACTGTATAATTTTTTATTTTTTTTCCCCTTCCAAACTAATTGTGCAGTTTATCGAATAAGTGTGATACATAAGCTAGTTTTTTATTTTTTATATTTGAGTTCGCGCGTTGAGTGATATATAAAAATATAATGTTCATCGAACACACGTGACAGAAATGCCAAATTACGGTAAGTAAATCTCTTCTGGAGATTATTACAACGTGTACACACGTAATCCATTTAAATAAAACATAACCGTTTAAGAAATAACAATGACTTTTAGCGATAACTGCATTATTATCACCATATACTGTTTTGACCGTAATAATAACTGTATTGGTATTTAATTCGTATTTAATTTGGAATAATAAAAGTGAACTTTTTAAATGTATTATTTTGAATACTATTCTTCTAAAAATAATTCCGTGATCAATTGCAACCAAGAAAAGTGTAAGTTTTTTTTTAATAGCGTTGTTCCGATGACTTTCTAAAACGTAAACTAATCCAAACACGGTTCGAAAGTGATATATTATACACGGCATCTACATAAATTAAGTTGACAAGTTTGCCTACACATTTGGCATTGTCATTAAAATGAGTACATGCAAAGTCTTAATTTTCGTTTGTAGTCATATAGTATTTTTAAATTGTTAGTTAATTTCCGACTGATATCTCGTGTCTTACGAACGTGTTGTCATTTTTGGGGGGAAACTTTTCTTTTAAACATATATGGCGGGATAAAACATTTTAGTCACGGTTTGCTACACGCAGCCCTCTATGTTGAATATAAACGTGTCTCCCGAACAGCAGTTGGACGAGTTGTGTCAAATGTCTCGAAATAATTAAATAATTTATGCATGTTTAGTCCTTCATTCAAGGAAACAGTAAAAATAGTCTAGAAATATTAGCCAAACACTTATGTTTGCCGTAGGGTACGGAAAAAAAACAACGAAGGTTTTCGCCTCCGCATTAAATGTTATAGTACAAATTTATTGTCTTAAATGTATTGCCTTAAGTTTGAATTTTAACTTTATTTTAATATAAATATAAAACTATAAATAATATTACTTAATCCGTTGTCTTGCAATGGGTACATTATTTTTGATCTGTAAAATTAATCGATGAAATATTTTTCATTAGATGCTTACAAAAGTAGTACCACACAAAACTACGAACTTCGTCAGTTCAGTTACATTTTGTATAAATGCAAATAATATACATTATTATTTGTTTAAAAATAAAAATGTAATATTCGTGAAAATGATTTATGATTATAACAAATTTTTAGAAATGTTAATTGTAAATTATAAATAATAATTTTTATATATAACTAATATATATCATAATAATTAACAATCTTTAAAATATTAAATACGACCACAAGTGAACAAAACTAATTTCTTAAAAATAAATAAATATTTACTTAATACGTACAATATGAATATTATGGATCATTTTATTTTACGTCCACTTCAATAAGTATACATTGAAATTATATCGTGTTATCAATTCGTTACACATACAAAAAATCGTACGACAGGTGTTAACTAGGGGGTCTTGGATTAACCAAAAAACAGGCGATTGCATTTTAGACTAAATTTTTTTTGACAACAGTTATAACATTGACAGCACTTATGTTTCAATAATAACTCAATGGAATACAGTTTTAAAAACATAACCAGAAAATAATAACTTTGTGATGAAGCGTTATTGGGTATGAACGAGTTAAAAAATCTATAATGCCCGTAAAATATAATATTCCCGGAAATTGTTTTTTGATGTATGCTTCATTGATTGTACCTATATACACATGGAATACCTCTCGTTTGTTTTGATGCATGCAATGGTGTTGAACGATTTCAATAATTAATATTAAATACATTTTATTATTTTTATCCACTATTTCAATAATATTGTTTGTACAATGCTGACAACCATTTTTACTGATGCACCGCAGAATTTTGCAATATCATTGCACAGGAAACGAAGAATAAAGGTTGACCAAGGGTCTTCTCTGGGCATTGATATTATTGTTGATGCTCTCTGGGGGGTGAACGAAAACCGATTGACATTTTTGAAAATCCAATACGCCCATAAAGAAATTAAATTTGCTAACAAAATAAAACAACCCGAAAAATGAAATATGGTTTAACAATTCAATAAATTTGTCCAAAATCTATACTCAAAAATTGGGGGTGCATATTTTACTTATTCACTATTCAGTAAAACATAAGAGTTATTTTATTGAAAGTAGAGGTTATTATTATCCGTTTTAACACTATACCGAAATAAATATTAAAAAGTTTAATGACATTTTTATTAGATAATCCTTTTATATTACACATTACAGAAATGTAGGAATTGGATTAATCGCATTTAATATTTTGTTAATTATTATTAAGTACATTTCCATTTACAATTTAAACGTTTCCTGCATTATAAGTTTAACGATAAATACTTATATCGCCATGATAACTTTGAAATTTATGAAAAATGCGTTGATAATATACCTATTATAATACTCATATTTACAATACACTATATTAAATATATCTATCAAAATTACCATTAAAAGTGCTTTAAATTCATTATGATATATAAAGTAAATTTGATGTTTTAAACATTATGGACCTCTTTTATAGCAGTAAATGAGACTCAATAGTTTTATAATTATTTGATTAACACCCATCACCCACACGAAAGTAATTTATTTTTTAAAAAATATGATTTTAATGTGGGTGTAATTAAACATGATACATTATTATACATAAATAATTTTATCAAAGCATGGACATCTTAGCATAGTATTTTTATTTGCTTTGATTTGGTTTGTAAAAAGATCTATTTGAAAAAAGTTATTGTTGAAAAATGAATGAAATCATATTGTTATTGAAGGCTAGTATTACAAATTCGTACGCAATAAAATACAATAATAATTGTCAAAATAAATAATAATATTACCGTAAAAGATAAATATACCTACTACACAGCTTTTACAATACTACAGTAAATATCACGCGAGAGTGTAGAATGTATGTGTAGACGCGAAATTATGTCATATTTTATAATAGAGGAAACGCAAATATAATCTTTTTTCTTAAAAAAAAAAAAAAATAATTATTTCTCTCACGAATTCATATGCCGTGTAAAGGGTCAAGATTTGTTGAATATATTATTTTTATACGATTGTTATTGTTTTTGTTCGATGCGCGTTCAAACGGCCGCGTGGAACTATTACCTTACGCACAAGAGATATATGTTTTGTTCTGTTTGGTAGAGACACGAAGGTGAAGGCGGCCAGGAACGGACTGAACGAAAAAAATATTCATACGATGGTAATAAAACGTTTATAACCTACTCCGTACGGTACAGGCAGGCGATAAAAAATAATAACATACATATAAATGTGTAGCTAAAAATCTCATTTCACGCCGCGAACTTTGACGCGATCGTTAAAATGTCGACCGAAATATTATATCACCTCAAGGACGACGTGCGTATGTGTTAAACCCGAATCGCCCGTGAGAGTGAGGGGTCACAAGATACACACACACACACACACACACACACACGTGTTATAGCTACTTTGCCCTTCTCCTTCCTCCCCTCGCGCGGTGTCAATCCGTCGATTATTTTTGCACAGTCACGGCGCCGCCGTTACACATCATTATACCCGCGCACGCGTTTACGCCGCCGACACACGCGCCGCGGTGGTCGCTGCTTATACCTCGACACGTCCGTCGGTCCGCGGTTCGTCCGCCACTGCCGCCCACACGCCACTCGGTCGGGCACCTGCAACCGGCCGGGTGTGCTCCACTCCGCGGCGCCGTTAAATAGAAAAAAAAAAAAAAAAATGAAAAATAAGCGAAAAAACTAAACTTTGGAATCTCCTCGAGTGCGGTGCGCGCTCCTACGCCCGTAACACGCGTAACGCGTCGTCCGACGGTCGAAACGCCACGAAATGTACGTGTACGTGTGCGCGTACGGATGACGCGTGTGACGGAACGCATTCCGTCAGCGACGGCTTAAGTGTAACAATGTACGAGCGCGTTTCACGTGGCCCCACGTGCGTGTTGCCCGTGTTACGTTGCTCCGTTTTAAACAGGTTCCGTTGGTCTCGGAAACAACGCTACGTAATACGCGTCGTCGTTTTTCCGTCTCGTACTCGCGCAACGCGCACTATTAATTTATTTCTGTAACACGTGTTTGTTACCCATCTCGAACGCAGTGAATACATTACGTGCACGGGTACAGCGCGCGACCGGTAGTAAAAAAATTTCGAAAAACACAATATTTTCTTCGCATCCGAGACGGTGTTTTCGTTATACGTACACGGGTACGGTATAATACCGATCTCTATAGAAAATTGAATTCACTCATTAAAACTCGTAATCAACCAGATCTCTTGGGGTGGTGGTGGAGAGTGATCGATCAAAAGACCTTCGGTAACCATTATTATATTAGTAGAGATAATTAAAATTAATATACATTTTTTTTTTTTTTTTAGAATAGTTATTTAGAGACCGCCGTCTTATAGCTGGTGCCTACGTGTACGTAGTATATACGCGCATGTATTTATTGTTCGTAAGTCATATAGGCTATTGAATATTAATATCAATTGTTCGCGTTCGTTCTTAAGGGTTGGGTCAGTCGTCCCATCTTTCACGGTCACACTCTGTCATTTTTTATTCTGTACCAAGACAATCGTCAATACGTCATATTATGTTATGTAAACCCGTCGTGTTCCTATTGGAGTTGAGTTCCGAGCATTTATTCTTACGAGTCGCGTTTTATAGGTTTTTAATATATTCTTTGAGTTACATTCGATTTAAAGGAAATCGCATAAAACTTACGTCGAATAACATTACGAGAATAAGTGCCCTTGAAATAAGTATGTAAGAACAAAAATTATGTTATTACAAGTGAATAGATATTATATTTACTCTTGTTTGTTGCATTACTAAGTAGGTAATCAATTTTTTCAATTGTTCGTTGTTTCGGGTTCACCATACGTACACACATATTTCAATAAACGTTTTTAATTTAAAAAGCTATTCGTTTATAACGTGTTACTCGCATACGGTTTTTTTTTCTCGAACAGTTTTCTAATCACATGTTATCAATCATGAGGGCCCCTCATACACACTCTGGTACAACCACTATTATTATTGACCGTTACACATAATGTA